ATTTACCAATTTGTTGTATCTAACTAGGTATAAAATATTATATAACAAGCATATATGTGTCAATAAATAACATACAAGTTTAAATATTAATCATACTGAAATATGTAAGTAGAACAAAAATGTTTTAAAAGTTTTAGTGAAATATGTAAGTAGCTTATTTATCATCTTAAATCTAAATATACTAGGTAGTAATGTCTTCATTACTACCTCTATGCAACTATAAATGTATAAAATTATTTAACAAATTATTGCTTAATAATAGGTGCTTGCATGTTTGTCAAAACACAGCACATATGAACAATGTTATCAATAAATGGTAAGTAATCGATAGTTAATTTATTAAGTATGCCAAAAGTCTTCAACCTAGCAAACAACCGTTCTATATGTATTCTTACACTTGCTATATTATAGGTTTCTAGAATTTCATCTTCTGAAAACCTACCATTGTGTAAAAATGGAGGCATTACAATAACAACATTTTCATCTGTGGTTTTTATTCCTGGGAATCCTTTGTCGGCAAGAACTTCATCACCAGATTCTAAAAGAGCTAAAAATCCACTATCATTGGTTATAAATGAGTCACTTGACCGACCACCATAACATTTTGACACAAAACTAATCATACCATTAGGTGTTATGGCTACTAAAAATTTAACAGTATAAGACCCTTTGTACCTTGAATACATGTAAACTCTATGTTCTACAGTATTAGGTTGTTCTACTTTTAACTCGGTGCAATCAATTATGCATCTACAGTTCGGATAGTTTTTCTTAAATGCTTCAGGAAGCAAAACTGAAATAGTTCTCTTATTAGGCCAGAATATTAAATTTTTTGTTTTTACGCTTAATGTAAGAAGGGTATCAGTAAATATTCTAGATATTGTTGTTCGGTGTACTCCAAAAAATACAGCCAAAGAGGAATAAGTTAAACCTAATTTCAATTTCATTAAAAATATTAATAAAGCATTTTCATTAGAGACCACCAAACGATTGACATTAGGCATTAACTTGAGCAAAATATTAAAAACTGAAAAAAAAGTGCCAGTAATGTCTTTAAGAGATTTTTCATTTTTAATGGATTCAAAACCGTGAAATGCTTCACATGACAAGCAAGATAAACTTTTTCTGTGGTCTACACCACAAGCTTTGTCAGAAGGTATTGGCTTACTTCCACTATTCAAATGGTTTAAAAATGAAAATGGAATACAAGCTTGTGTGGAAGCGCTATTACCTTCATGAATACAAGAAAAAATAAAGTTGTTATTGCAACAGTTGTCAAAACTCACTTGAGTGCCAACACTTGCAAACTGTGAAGCAAAGTTCTTTTCTATCAAAAAACAATTTTCTGTATCAGTTTCTATTTTTTCTGTTATAGTTGTAGTTCAAATCTTTCTGCTTAAAGTCCGTTTGTACCTTTCATCCGCTTGGTTTGAATCAGTTAGTTTTTTCTTGTACACTTTAGGGAATAGTGAAGGTACATAAGAAGGACTTCTAGGATCATTTGAATGCTTGTTTCCAACAAAATGCTTACTACATATCACACTGCGAGGATTAGGCAACCACAATTTCCCATTGTCACTAAATTTAATAAAATTTTAAAATAATAACTAATAAGTAAATTAAAGTAAGTGTATTACATTAAAATGCTTATAACATTCCATAGTAAAGAGCTAATAAAAAGTGGTAAATTAAAATCAATTTGTTAGTATTAGGTACAATAGGTACATCTTTCTAGGTATATTACATTTTTGTTACTAAGAATTTTAAGGAAATATAATTTTTAAATATTTAACATAAGTAATTTAACTATGCTTTTACTATTAACTAGAATGTAATTTAACTAACTAAAAATAAGTAATTACTCAAGTCTGTTAACAGCCTTTATCCATTTAAACTTCAAATCCTTTTGGTAAGATCGATTAGGAAAGTTGTAAAATATAGTATTATTAGTATTCTTGTATGTATTATTGCAGTTAACCACACAACAAATTTGATGAGAATTTTTATTTTCAGTCATTATGAAACAAAAATGGGTACTTGAAAATAAAATGAAAGCTGTGAATTCTAAAATTTGAGTTTAGAATTTTGGTAGGTAGGTATATCTACTATCTAGTGACTAGTATATTATTTTATGTATTTATAGCAGTTGCAACTTGCAAGTGCCCATTGACTGATTATATTGATATAAAAAGATAAGATTCATAAAAATATTAATAATCACTACTTGCCTAGGACCAAGGTATCTGAGACCTATAATTACAATAATAAGTTTTCATGTTTATAAAGTAGGTATAGTGATCATATTTTCTTTTTTATTTACCAACAGGCAACAGACATGGAAATTCATGAATAGTTTTTAGAATTTATACATGACTTAATACATGAATATGATGACGAACTTGTTTCTAATTATGATAGTGAAGTAAAATGTAAAGTATGGATAAATAGTGATGCATAAATGCTAGTTTTTGTTCGTAATACCTATTTCATTCAAATATTTGTATCCTGTAACAATTTAAGCTATTAACTACCAGAGCGCGCTGTTTTCCAGTGGCTGCACGACGTCTATAGTATATTATTTAATTATGATAAAAATGATTGTTATTTTTCGACCGTCACAACCCTCTATAGTAGAGTACCTTGTAAATAGTGTATATCTATATATAATATGTGTGTGTGTGTGTGTGTGTGTGTGTGTATATATTATATATACAAATATGTGCTTCAAGCGTATTATACCGATTGGTGTGCCTAGAAAATGTTGCAGGTTAGGCGACATTGTTAAAAAGGTTGAAAGCCACTGGTCTGGTCTGTCCGATACTCTGATCGTTCCACATTAAAGGCTTTCGGGCACATAGAACGCGATCGGTGCGGTTGTGATTAAATACAGAATTTGACCTCGACCGTCGCGATAATCATAATAATAATAAGTATATATACGATGTCACGGCCCGCCGCGACGGACCGCGTTCTGTGCGCTCGGCATAACGCCACAGGTGTCACGCAGGCGCTCCCCGGTGTAGTCTCCGATTAGTCGTTATCGCGCGCGAGGCGGCCACGCCCATCGCCGCCCGCGTGAACGCCTGTACAGACCGGTGGAGGAGGAGGAGTGGTCGTCGGTCGATGGCTCGGGCCCGGCGCCAGTACCTACGATGACCACGCCCCACAACTCCCAGCCCGTATGTCCGCCAACGACGAAGACCGTGCGAAGTCTCGTCGGTCGACGGCCCGGGCACCCGTCATGCGCAGAGTGCCTCTTCCCCGCCAGTATAACTGCCAATGGTAGACCGGACAGAGTCGTCGGTCGACGACACACGTAAATCTAGAGGCGTTCTCCATTGCGTTCCGGCGATCGTGAAATCCGCCAATTATTATTACCGGTCGGACAAAAAAGTCGATGGAAAGGTGTGGCGTGAGCTCCGCCGATTTCGTTTTCTTACCGGCAATGTTTTCACCGAGCGGCACGCGATCACGGGTCGCCATATTATATGTACCTGTTGTTCGAAAATAATAAAACGTCGACGGCCGATGGCGACGGGATTCCCCGCTCATAGGAAGCGATGATCGAGAACGACGGCTGTACGACCTGCGATTATGTAATCCGAGTTGGCATTATCTGAGAATTGATTTCACGTCCATATGTGGCGAATGTCGTCGTCGAGTACGTTACCAAAATGTCGTGTCATAATAATATTGTTTGGGGAAAAAGAATTGGTAGGGCCGCCGCGTGAACGGCAGTTGCTGCACTTCACGTTTGCCCCGTCGAAAAGAACGCGCAACATGCAGTCACAATCGCGATAAGTCTGTATTATTTAATGCATATTTATATATTATCCAAATGAACTATTAGACTATTGATGCATTTTTTCAGTTCATTTTATTATACGTTAATTCAAATCATAAATTAAGTATTTAGCTAAAACGTATCACTATTTAGGTAATGATATAAAAATAAATATGTGTCCCTCTTGCAGAGAAAAACATATAAGTTGATTTTGATCAATATTTTTTGCATTAGTTATTAAATTAGTTATATTGACTTCAGTAACTATGGACAATTTCTGTTTTTATTTCCAAACTTTGTATTATTTATAGTTACACGATTTTTTACATAATTATAAATTATTATATAATATTACATAAACAAAGAAACAAAATAAATATGTATTTATTTATACCTATATTTCAGCTGTGTGAGAAATATGTAATGAAAATTTGTAATTATTTGATTCATAATATCAAATATTCAATTTATTTATTTTTCAAATTCTGTACTCATGGCCCATGGGCCCAATAATCTTCTTGAAAAATAAATGAAATTGTATCGAAACTATAGGCAATCTAAATAGAAAAAAACAGATTGCACTTATTGAAAGGAGTGAAGATTTTTGACAGTAAACTTATTATTTTTACTTAGTAATACTTTTCCAAATATTAGATATGAGTTTAAAAATCTTTTTACTACAGAATATTTTGCAATTCTTGTGATTTTGACGAATGTTGCCAACATTTTAAGTTTGAATGCTTATAATAAAAAAATATTATGGCTTTATTATAACTTTAATAAATATTTAAATAGCCACCATAAATACTTATGGCTTTATGAGAAACTTTATATAGGTAGGTACTATATTTCAAGCTTTCTGACTCAGCGCAAAAATTGTTATCGACAATTGTTGAAAAATAAAACTAAAAAGTATTGCCCCAGGTGAGGATCTAACTCGCACGACCTTAAGATTATGAGACTTACTATCGCCGCCTAGAAGCTATTATCATCTAACCTAAACATTGAAACAAATTTATCATATTATAAGTAAAAAACGGATTTTGTACAAAAATAAAAAATCAATAAGTAATTTTGTATATTAACTTAATGATTTATTAATTGAACTCTTCGCAATTTAATATAATATTATATATAACATTGAAATTTCAAGTCTTAATAATAATGCTTACGAAAATAAAAGATATAGGCATACATTTCCTTCAAGTTTACAATACAAATTAACAAAATAAATACCTTTTCAGTTCCTATAAGTATGTTCAATTTTTGGATTATTTAAAAAATCTCCGTGGACCCCTATAGTACCTATAACTATATTTACAGAACCCTATGAGCCTTAGGGGTTCGTGGACCATCGGTTAAGAGCCAAACGGTACCAGTGTATAATAACCACACTCACTATAATTAGTAGAGCTGTGAATTTAATGCACTTAAGAACCTTCAAAAATGCAATAAAATATGCACTTAAAATTCAAAAATTGCAATATAAAATGCAAAAAAAATTATAGTAGGTATACAATTCATTTAAAATGGTTTTTAATTAAATTAAATTTTTATATTTATATTAATATAATATATATAGGTACAAGATATTATACATTATTAGTACATTACATGCATAAAAAAGTGTTTATTTAATAAAAATAATCATAGTAAAAATGTTGATTTAATTTGAATTTTTTATACTTAATACTATATTCTCCTGAAACATTTTTTAAAAACTTGTGACCGTTCGACAATTTGCCTAGACAAATTGCTCGTCGAACGTCATGTGGTCGCCCGTTTGACAAGGTCGCCAACCACGAACCGAGGCCCAAAAGACCGGAGCATCGTGGATTTTGTATATGTATAATAAATGAGCACGAAATGTAAAAAAGAATCTATTGTTTTTATTGATTTTTTTGTGTTGAAATTATTTTGACGCCGAGAAAGCCGAACGGCATAAAACTCGGACAAAGAAAAAGTATAATATATATTTTGACAGTCGTCATACATATGACTATGCCACCGATTATAATAATAAATTATGAAAATGATACTACAAAACCTCGCGAGGGGGCTCGGTCGCTCGTAGACGCCGAGGTATATACATTACATATTTTTTCTAGGTATACCTACCTATATATATTGCCTATTTTTTTATATGCCTATATTATATACTTACAATTTTCTGGAGCAGACCTTTAAAAAAAAAATTACCATTGAGAATTTATTAGTATTTTTAACCACTCAAATGCGAGGTACATTTTGATTAATTATTGGCAAAACATCATAATATAATTTATGAGATGTAGTTAAACATAAATTATATTAATATCATTTACATTTTTTCTTTAGCGCTTATTCTATCATCAGACTTCTAACATCACTACACTGCCTTGAAGTTGGCACCCCGACTTTGTCGTATTGTCTTCAAACAATAATCATACTACTTATCACTACTTATAATAATTTAATATCTGTTTCACAAGGCATGAAAGTCCCGTGTATATAGACTCTGTTTAAGGGGTTCCAGTTAAAATCATAAAATACAAAATTACGAAATTTATTAAGTCCAGGGTTTCCAAACGTTATTTAAAACGTATAATATGATAAAAAAGAAAATATAAAGTAAAAATAAGAACTTGCCACTTGCCAGTTATAGCTGATTACTAAAAACTCTAGGATGATTGAAAACAACCAGTGGCGTGTATCATAAAAAAAATAGGTGTTGCTCTAATAATTGTTGGTATTATACTATATATACTATATTACACCGACTTATAAAATGCCCTATATTTCTTTTATCAATATACTCACCCACCCATATTTAAGGTGTTGCCTCAGCAACACTCGGACCCTATGTTACACGCCACTGACAATAACCTATATCCTGGACAACAGATTCTACTAATTTGATAGTTCTTAACTAAAATACTATCTAATAGGTATACTTAGGGATTTGAATCTTTTCGCAACTACTAACTTACGTTTATTATTATTTACTTCGTAGGATTAAATTTTTTAAATATTTGAACTATTATTAATGTATTTAAGATTATCTCAAACATATTCACACAATCACACCATTCTACGGTAAGTCAGAATTAGCTTATAAGTTAAGAGGACGTAACAGTAAACAAAAAAATGGCATACAAAATCCTATTGTTCTTGAATAATACAAACCTCCTATTTTTATTCTTTACCAAAGATATTTATTTATTAATTAATTACGCCCAAGATGAGCAAAGGTT